TAAAACCAAAAATATTCATACCTCTGTATTTTTACATACATTAAGAAAGAAAAGAAGTTCTAAAACAGTGAAGTATTTTAGGGCAATACTACCACTTCATTCATCCAAACATTTGTTGAATTTCTACTATGTGCCTAGGATTACTCTAGAGGGTGTGTGTGTGTGTGTGTGTGTGTGTGTATTTATGCTAGAAGAATACAGCAGTGAACAAGACAGAGTCCTTGCCCTCATAGAGCTTACATTCTTTTTTAAAGACAGGGTCTCGCTACGTTTTCCAGTCTGGCCTTGAACTCACTATGTAGCCCAGGCTGGCCTCGAACTTGGGAGTGATTCTCTGGCCTCAGCCTTCTGAGTGCTGGGATTGCAGGCATGTGCCACCATGCCTGACAAGCTTATATTCTAATAAGGAATAGGAAAAGAAAATAATAAGGGAAAGACCAGTAACAATTGTGTAATTTCAGATAATGAGATATAGTAAGGAGCCAATTTTAAAATAGTATAGAAGACAGATAGTGATCTGTGGGAGAGAAGAGAGTTTGGACAGAATGACTAGGGAAATTCCCCCTGCTGAAGTAACTTCTGAATGGTACTGAATGATAAGAATGAGCAGTTCCTTACTCTCTGTAATGTGAATCTAAAGGGAATGAGACATAAACTCGGGTTTTTGAAGAACAGCTAGAAGGTTGGTGTGGCTAAATTAGGGAGCAAATAGAATAGTAACAGATAAGGATGAAGATCCTACGTAGGCACAGACTTAACATTTTATGTAAGAGAAAAAGGGATTTTATTCGCAGGGTAAAGGGAAATTATTACAGGGATTTAGCGAATGAGTTTTATATATATATATTTATATTTATATATATATTTATATATATATTTATATATATAACTCAATATATATCTTGCAATGACTACTCTGATTGTGGTATAGCTAGACATGTAGAGAAGCACTAATAATTTCAGGCAAGATCTAAGGCTGGCTTAGATTTTTATGTTACATTTAGCACAGATAAAGTTCTTCAATGTCGTGTTTCCAAGACATCATTTGCTTTCTAGAAACTCATTGATTATTAAATAAGCTCTCTGTCTTCCAAGGTCAGAAAAGTACGCTACAGTCCAACTTAAAATCCAGATTTTAACTAAAAATGAAATTATAAAATAAGAACTAAGATACATTATGTTCTGGTATAAACACCCAATGATAAATGTAAATGTATTTTATACCTAAAATGTAGCAATATATATATATAAATTTTAAAAATGAAATTATACCAGAATATTTACAGAGGCAAAGTACTACCAGTAGATGAAGCACAAGGATTTTCCTGCTAAAATGAGAATAAAGGAATTTTAAGGAAATAAAAGTCTCTACTACTACTGAAAATGAGACACTATAAATGGATTTCACTAAATCTTAGAGAAGATCAAAATCAGATGAAATACAAACAGAGAAAGTAAATAGCCTAAAATATGCCAATAGGGGGCTACAGGCAAACTATCTGAACAGCAAGAGACTCATAATGCCTAGAAAAATCAGAAAAGCTAGACTCACATGTCTAGACAAAAATAAGAAAAAGAGCTAAAAACAGAGGAAGAGGAAGCATTCCTTTTTTAAGGAAAATAAACAAGAAGATTTCGTATCTTTTTAATTCTAGAATTTTAGGGGTGACCTACCCACACATACTCGAAAAATTTCCTCTCAGTTATAAAGCAGTGCCTGGCAAAGACATATAATATTCACAGCTGGGCTTGGTGGCACATGTCTGAAATCCCATCACTTTTGAGGCCGACACACAAGGATTGCCTCGAGTTCGCGGCCAGCATGGGCTACACAGAGAGTTCAAGGCCAGTGTGAACTACACAGACCCTATCTCAAATACATACATATATACCTACATGCAAACATACATACATAAAATATTCAGTAAAATATTGAGTGAGTGAATAAGGAATGCCAATAAACAAGCTCAGCCTACATACACAAAATTCCCAATTGATTTTCTCACTCTAAAATATATGTAAACAATTATTATAAATATGATAAGGATAGTAAAGAAAAAGATAAAAATAAAGTCATTCTACAACAAAAATCACAGAACATTAAATAAGTATGGGATTTTTAAAAAATGGTACTGGGACTGAACATAGGATCTTGCATATGCTAGGCAAGCACTTTACCACTGAGTTAGATTCCCAGCCCTGGAATGGCCGGGCATGGTGGTAACAGGCCTATAATTCCAATTACTCAGGAGCCTGAGGTAGGAAGGAGGATCACAAGCTCAAGATCCCATCTCACTCAGAGAGACAGAGACAGAAACCAAAAATAAATTCTAGAAAGGGCTACAAAAAAAAAGTTCAGGAGGGCAGGGGATTTGGCTCAGTGGTTTCGCCGCCTGCTGCGCAAGCTCAAGGGCCCGGGTTCGATCTCCGGTACAAAAAAAAAAAAAAAGTTCAGGAATTCCCTGAGAACATATAGAGGAAAAAAACAAAAAGAATTTCCCAGTGGCGAAGACAAAGACAAAGAAGAGGAAGATGAGAAAGAGGAAGAAGACAACTGCGACTACAACAACAACCAGGTGTAGTGATTCAAACCAGTAATCCCTGCTATCCCGCTATTTGGGAGGCTTAAGGCAGAAAAATTCAATTTGGTGGGACCCTGTCTCTAAAAAAAAAAAACAAAACAAAAGGATTGTGGATTTACTTTAGTGGTAAAGCACCTCTGGATTTGATCCCAGTATCACCAAAAAAAAAAAAAAAAAAGACCTCAAACTGAACAGGCCAGACCCTTCAGCACTCTGGGAGGCTGAGGCAAGAGGACTGCAAAATTCAATCCTGCCTTGGGCAACTTAGGGAGACCCTGTCCCAAAATTAAAAATAAAAAGGGCTAAGCTGGGTGTAGTGACACATGCTTGTAATCCCAGCACTTGGGAGGCTGAGGCAGGAGGATCCCCACAAATTCAGGCTAACCTGGACTACATAGTGAGTTCAAGGCCAGCCTGAACTACATGGCAAGACCCCGTCTTTAAAAAACAAAGGATTATAGTTCAGTAAAAGACCCTGGGTTAGATTCCCAGGATGGCAACATTAATTAACTTTAAAACATAATCAAGAATGAGACTCGTATCACACATTTCATCAGAAGCTACTAGAAGACGGGAAAGCAATGCCTACTCCAGAGTTCCAAGGGACGATGATATTCAACTAAGAGTCCAGTACGCAAATTATCAATCCAAGTATGAGGGCAAACAATCAAATCATTTTTCAGAAATGCAAAGATATTAAATTAACATTTCACAATCTCTGATGGAGTTAAAGAAATTTGCCAACAAAAGAAACACAAAACCAAAGAGAAGCTACTAATTCTACCAAAGTGTTAACTTTAGAAGTCTACTGAAATCCTAGAAAGCTAGAAAACAAGTCCAGAAAGCAGTTGATCCACATTACTAACAACGCCAAGTGCAAGAAAAACTGTACTTAAAACTTATGAATAGAAAATATACATAAGGAAATGTGACATTTTAACCAACTAATAAAGTCTAAAACATCATTTAACCTTTGACCAGCATTTAAGCAACACAAAAGTAGTTCACTGAGAATGGACTGAGATAGCAAGTAAATATAAATCTTTGCACACTGCTTGTCCTTGGCCTAACTAGGCAGACATTCTATAGAATATAGTGCTGCTTTGTTAGTTGATTTTCACCTTTTAGAATAACTTATAGAGAAAAATGGAAAGGCTTTGTTGGACAGGCTATAAATGTATTCAGAGCAACTGATAAAAAGTCACTTTCTGGGCTGGGGATTTAGCTCAGTGGTTCTGGCGCCTGCCTCACAAGTGCAAGGTCCCAAGTTCAATCCCCGGTACCAAAAAAAAAAAAAAAGTCACTTTCTGCCCAAAGTATATCATAAATAAAGAGAACAAAGAAAGTAAGCCACAGGTGGAGAAATGGATAGCAACTAAAAACGACTGATGCCAGAATATTAACAGAATAAATCAGACAAAAACAAAAGAAAAAGGACAAAAAACCCATGCAATTCAGGAAATCTAAATGTTCAATAAACATTTTAAATATTTAACCTCACTAGAACTTTAGAAAATATGAAGACAATAAGATGCCATTCTATATATATGCAGCCAAATCAACAGTCTCATAATACCAAGTATTGAGGAAAATAACAACAGCCATTCTCATACTCTGCTGGTTCACAATGGTGCAAACTCTATGCCAGTTTAAAGACCAAATTGGCAACAACCCTTAATGCTGAAAATAGACATAACTCATGGCCCACCAATTCTACTTTTAGATGTATTTCCTAAAAAAAATTCTTATAAAAATAAGGAAATGTGTACAAAAAGGTTCACTGCTACATCTTTTGTTACTGTGAAAAATCTAAAATTATCAACATATTCATCTTTGAGTTAATTACTGTACTCCTAACAAAAAAAACCCCATAAAACATTTATACTGAATTAACCAGAGTTACACACATAAAGACATGTATAGAAATGATAAGCACCACATTCAAGACAGTGGGAAAAAAACTGAAGAAGAAAAATAGTACACAGGAGTTCTAACTATGCAAGATTGGTTGATGACGGGCACATACAAATTTTATATTATTTTCTCCAATTTTTAGTAGATAAATATTTCATAAAAAAGTTTTCTTAGGAAAAAACAGTAAAAAAATTATGCAAATTCAATACTCAAAGATTTGTTACAAATTCTATCCTGAAATCAATCCTGGAAGCTTACTATTAACTTATATCACTTCTACCCTTAAATTGTAATAGTAACTAGGCTGGGGATTTAGCTCAGTGGTTCCGCCACCTGCCTCACAAGCGCAAGGACCAGATTTTGATCCCTGTTACCAAAAAAAAAAAAAATTATAATAGTAACTATTAAAACGCCTGCCTCACAAGCGCAAGGTCCCGAGTTCAATCCCCAGTACCAAAAAAAAAAAAAAAAAACCCCAAAAAAACCATTAAAAAAAATACTCACTCTGTAACTGATGTTACACTTTCCTGCCCAAAAGGTCCAACTGGATCATCCTTGAATTTATCATTTGGAAGCTGAGGCGGTAAAAACTCTACATCCTTTTTCTTTGGGACCTTGTAATACTTCCAGGCTGTATTAGCTTCATCTTCCTCCAAATTCACTGCTGTACCAACATACACTGTAGGTTCTACAGTTTCCTGGAATTGAGGTGGGAAAGACTGGGACAAAGTGTCTATCCTATCTTCCATTGGTTTGGTAGGAACCAAGGGATCCGGTGTTGGTATTTGATAAAAATGCTGACTTTGAGGAGTTGAAGGTGTTTTGGTCACTCCTTCATCAGCCACATCACACGGGTGAGGACTAAGTGGGGGTGGCTGAGGTGAGTTTGCCATTTCAGTGCCATGCATTTGAGGAGTCTTTGCTACATCATTAGTTCGGAGGTTTGAAAATCTCACTTGACTATCAGGAGCAGAGATCACAAGTCTTTGGCTGGCTGAATCTGCGTCCATGCCAACATCATCACTAATAGATACGCGATGATGAAAAGGAGTCAAAGGGCGTTTCTGTGGCTTTTCATTCTTTTCTTGTTTTTCATTGGTCTTGTGCTTAGGAAGTACTTGCTGTTGTTGATTTAAAGATGGTGCCTGTCCTTGTTGTCCAGTATTTCTTGGTTTGAGATTTTTGTGCCTGAGAAGTTAAAAGATTTGATGTTTAGAGTATCACTATTCTAGCAAAGTATCCAAGTTAACACTATAAAGATATTTCTAATATCATTTGTTTTTCATATACAATACTAAAAATAAAATGATTTGAATTTACATGGGGGAAAATATCTTATTCAGTGACCTCAGTCAAAACAGCATAAAAAATAACTCATAAAAGCCAATTTTTTTCATGTTCATTTAATGCATTTAGCTATGTGTTCAGACACCCAATCATTATTAGCCAATAATAATTTGCATATATAATCTAAACCTTGGTATGTGAAAAAATACATAGGTAAGATTCTACTTCCTTTAAATAAAGATGACAAAAAATTCATTTATGAAAAATACTTGATATTTCACAGTTAGTAACTATTAACAAATCCATAGCTTGGCTGAGCTTAGTCATAACCTACAATCCTACAGTAACTGGTTAGAAATCATGTTCTACTCTACTGGATTAAAGTTAGGTCAGTCTGAGTGCTGGGGAGCAGCTCAGTGGTAAAGAGTGCTTGCCTAGCATGTGCGAGGTGCTTGGGTTGATCCCCAGCACTAAAAAAATAAGGGCGGGGGGGGATCAGTCTGGAAAGTGCTAAGGCTGACTGACCAACAGTCTTCAAAATGTACCTACCTTCTCCCAAGACTTAGCACTACAGAATCAGCTGCATAGAAAAGGAAAAGAGCCAGACATGGTGGCACATGCCTGTAATTCCAGCACTTAGGAAGTTGAGCAGGAGGATCACCAGTTCAAGGCCAGCCTGAGCTACACAGGGAGTTCAAGGCCAGCATGGACTACATAGCAAGATCCTGTAGGTAAATAGGTAGACAGGGAGGCAGAAAGAGAAAAAGAGAAAGAGCAAGAGCGCGAGAGAGACAAAGAGAGAGAGAGAGAGGACAGAAACATCTACAATAACCTTTTCTTCATAATGTGGAGTAATTTTATCACAAAGAACCTAAACTATATGCCTAAAATCTAGTAATTTGGGGGTTTAAGAGTCCTCTTCAGTGTATTCCAGTTTCTAAACTCACTGATACTGGTACATAAAAGTATGTAACATGTTTTTTACACTAAAAAACTATTTTAAAAGATGGTGAGATAGAGTTTAAACATTCAATATTGATTAGTTTTTGTTTGATTTGGTATTTTTTTATTTGTATATTTACTTATTATTTGCCATAAGCTGGTATCTCTCAAAAACATAGGTGTAAATCATTAACAGATGCAAATAACTAAAAATATTAACAATTCAATCCAAAAAAGATAAAGGAGTAATACATAATGACCAAATGAGGTTGATTCCAAGAATATAATCAGGAGCTGGGCATGGTGGCACACACTTGTAATCCCAGCACTCAGGAGGCTGAGGCAGGAGGATCACCCTGAGTTGAGACCAGCCTGGGTTACACAGTGAGTTCAAGGCCAGCCTATACTATATAGTGAGACCCTGCCTCAAAAAAACAAACAAAAAAGGAAATCAGTATTATTCATCACATTAACATAAAAGAAAAAAACCTTATCTTTTTTTTTTTGGTACCGGGGATCAAACTTGGGACCTTGAGCTTGCAAGGCAGGCGGCAGCACCACTGAGCTAAATCTCCAGCCCTTATTATCTTAATAAATATAGAAAACATACAAGCTGGGCTGCGGATTTAGCTCAGTGGTGCCGCCGCCTGCCTTGCAAGCACAAGGACCCAAGTTCAATCCCTAGCACCAACAAAACAAAACAAAACAAAAAAGAAAACATACAAGCTTCAATGCCTACTCATATAAAAATGATGATTATCAGGCTTAATAGTGAAAGGCTAATTTCTACCCAAGATTAAGAACAATGCAAGAATATTAACATTAAATATTTCTATTTAACATTTTACTGAAGGAAAGAAAAAGAGGGGGGTAAAAAGAACCAAAGATGTAACTCAGTGGTGCTGCGCCTGCCTATTAAGTGCAAGGTCCTGACTTGGATTCCCAGAACCAGGGGAAAAAACCAAAAACCAAAATATTTTACTGGAGGTTTTAATCAATGCACCAAGACAAGAAAAAGATACCAAAGGCTTCAAAGGAAGAAGAAAAACTTTATTCATGGTTAACACTGTTAAAAACTATGCAATGCAAGGGTCAAGGTGATCATCACCTAAGCTTAACATTAGAAGTGGGACAACCAAACAATGTCTCTTCTGATATAAAGTAATACAGTATGGTCTATGAAGCATTCTTGCCAAAAATACTTAATCTGAATCTAATCAAGCCTCCAGATCAGCAATATCCAAAAGAACATCCTATGATGGTGGAAATGTTCTATATATGACTCTTGAGCACTGAAATTTAGCTAGTACAATTAAGGAACTGAATTTTTATAAATTCATCTACTATAAATTTAAAAAGCCATTAGTGGTTATTAACACAGCTAGTATGGGGCAGCACAGCTATCAGAGCTACCTTAAATTTACTGAAATGTGAGGGATAAAGGAAGAAGTGACACTAAAAGAAAAATTTAAAGCACATGACAATTCACAGAGAAATCCAGAACATGGAACATTCTACCAGACAACAGACCTAATTTTTCTAACCTATACAGTGTCACAAAAAGAGGGCAGGAAGCTGGACACACCTATAATTTCAGTACTCTTGGAGGAAGATCACAGTTTGGAGTCCAGCTTGTGCAATTTAGCGAGACCTCATCTCAAAAATTTAAAAGAAAAAGGCCTGGGGATGTAGCTCAGTTCAAACGCCCTAGGTTTAATCCCCAGTACACGCCAATAATTTTTTTTTTCAGAGAAAAAATCTGAAGAGGACAACATACCAAAAAATTACTGTTCATTTTACTGGGCGTAATAATGAACAGAATTAATAGGGAAGAAAATAATGGGGCTGGAGGGTGTAGCTCACTGGTGAAGTGCTTACCTACCATCCTGAAGCCCTAGGTTTCGTCACCAGTACCATTAAAACAAAAACAAAAAAAGCCCCACACATTAGTGGGGTTTTTTGGTAGTACTGGAGATTGAACCTAACAGCATTCTATCACTAAGCTACATCCCCAACCCCAGCATGTGGTTTCGCTGAGCTGCCCAGGTGGGTCTCAAGCTTGCAATTCTCCTGCCCCAGCCTCTCTTGGTACTGTGGTTTACAGGTATGAGTCACCACACCTGGCTAAAATTTACACTTTCTAGAGTTGTATACAGAAGTACTATAGAAATGAAATTAAATATATTTAAGATTTGCTGTAAAAATCTTTAGTGAGTGTGAAGCATAGTGGATTGGTCAAATAATGTATCATATATTCATAAAATGGAACATTATGAGCCTTACATCATGATTCCACCTGTGTGAAACAAAGTAGGCAGGTAGACCTATATATGAGGGAGAACTTATAATTTTAAATTTTATATTCTTGTGTATTATTTGAACTTTTAGATGAGCTTTTTAAATTTTGTTTTTGCAGTACTGGAAATCAAACCCAGGGATATTCTACCACTGAGTTACATCCCCAGTCAGCCCTTTTAACTTCTGAGACAGGGTCTTGCTAGGTTACTCGGGCTGAACTCGATTGAATTTGTGATCCTATTTCCTCTCAAGCAGGTGAAATTACAGGTGTGTGCCACCACAAGCAGCTGAGGATGTATAACTTTTAATAAAAGAATCTGTGACTTTAAAAACAAAAAAGGTCGTTTTCAATGTTAACACAATACCTTCTCTTACTGGTCTTCATTTTGTTTTGTTTTTTTTGGGTACCGCGCACCAGGCGGTGAAACCACTGAGCTAAATCCCGGGCGCTCTTTTTGAATACTTTCAATGACAAAGACCTATTACCTATTAAGAAAATGCATACCAGTGTCAATCAGCTTCAGTTGTTCAAAATAATTTCTCACAATGAACAGAAATTTACCTTTTCTGTATCTTCCAGTCATCACTATTATTGACTTAATTTTTAAAGCTGTTGAGGCCCGGTAATGGTTACAAGTTACATGTGGCTATCAGACACTCAAAATGTGGCTCTCCAAATTGAGATATGGTATAAATATAAAATATGTACAAATTTTTAGATGTTACCTTTAAAAAGCCAAGTAATGTTTCAGATTGATTGCATATCAAAATAATGCTACATAAATTGAGTTCAACAAAATAAAGTGGTACTTCAGTTCACAAACTTGATTCTTTCCATGATTCTGACTGCAAGCCGAGTTGGATGTGAATCAAATCAAATTCAATGATTAGGTTCAATGTTGACCTTATGGGGAAATTTGATTCGGTTCTTATCCAGTCCAATTTGCAACCAGAATTGTGGAGAGAATTGAGTTCATGAACCAACGTACCACTGTAAATTAAAACTTAAAAAGGTCTTCAGCAAGAGAAAAAAAATCTCAAAGAAACAATAGTAAGTGAATATGAATGGTTAATGAACTTAAATTCATTGTCTAATTCTCTTTTGTGTACATTTAAAATTTTTCTTTAAAAAAATTTTTAATAGAAAAACATGGAACTAAAATACTTAAAAAAAAAAAATCTAAGAGGAGCAAGGTTAAAGTGTTCTAGGATTCCTGTTTATTCTATAAAAAGAACAGACTCTGATAACTTTATGTTCTAACGAAAGCAATCACAATAAATGCTTAATTTAATTAACAAAAGAATAAAAATAGAATGCCAAACTTCAGAGCCAGCAGAAGAAAGGGAAAGAAGGAAAATAACGAACAGTAATACTAGGAAAGAGCAAGGAAAGCAAAGAGGAAAAACATGGTATCATTTCTCACTCAAATATCTACATGTCTTCTATAGCAGTTCCCAAAAAATGGCCCATGGACCCCTTCAGGAGTATTTTCATAATAGCAAGATATTATTTGCCATTTTCTTTATGTTGACATTTAACAGGACAAAAGCAACCAACAGTGGAACTGTTGGCAACTAAACATGAAACAGAGCTGGACCTAGAGGTGCATGCCTATTATTCTAGTGCACTAAACGTGAAACAATACAGTGTTATCAACTCT